CTCTGTTGAGCATCACAGCCACAGGCAGGCTTCTATTCACAGGAAAGTGGTGCTGGGCATGGGGTGCATTGGCCGGGAATGAAATCCAGGTCCCCCTCCCGGAAGGAAGAATTCTGCAATCCTTGCCCTCCTTCTTTGCTACCCCCTGCCTTAGAGTCGATTCCAACTCAAAGCAACCCTATAGGACAGGGTAGAACTGCCCCATAAGGTGTCCAGAGCTGTCAATCTTTATGGAAGACTGTCTCATCTTTCTCCTGCACAGGAGCTGGAGGGTTTGAACCACTGACCATTCGGTTAGCAGCCAAATGCCTCAGCCACTGCACCACCAGAGCGCCTTTTCTCTCTACAGCAGTTGTCTTTTCGTACCTTGTATTTATTTCCTAAGGCATTTGACTGCTAACCAGATGGCTGGACGACTGGGCAATCTACTTCCGTGATACTGCCTCGGAAACCTAGGGAAGGGTCGCTGTGAGTTGGAACTGAATCGACAACAGTGAGTTTGGTTTTTGGTATTTATTTGCCATGCTTCCTCCTCCTTCCTCCTGCCTCTGCAAATCCTCTCCTCTACCTACTCTGTCCGGTTAAGTTCTATTTATCTTTAGAGATCAGATCAAGTGTCATCCCTCAGGGATGCTTCTCCTGACCTTCCTGACCAGGTCTATCCTTGACTAGGTTCTCATAGCCTTGTGCTCGTGTACCTCCTGTCACAGGTATCGTTTATGTTTGTGTGATTATTTTATTAATATCTGTCTTCCCTGTTAAACTGAAAACTCTGTGTGAGAAGACTTCTTTGTGCCTGGTCTGTTTGCTATCTTATTCCCAGGCTAAGTGTAATGGCTGGGACATAGTAAATGCCTTAGAAACACTAGCTGAAAGATTATTTAATCTAGCACAACAGTAGCCCACTGTACTAGAAAATCAGGCCTATTCAAAAGCCTCACAATATTTTTTAGCCCAGGAAATTCTGGAATCAGATAATGGTGAACTCTTATTAAGCCTCAAATGGTGCTTTTAATTTAATAAGGTTTCTTTTTCATCTTCCTCTTTTTTTTTTTAATCTTGCTTTGGCTCTAGATAGACACCAAGAGCATCATAGTAAGCCCGAACTCCTTAACCTATGTAACACCCTGCCACTCAAGAACAGGTCTCAGGTGAGCAGATGGATCCAGCTGACTCATTAGGCACATAGCACAGACTCTAGGAACATGCTGTCCTAATACCCTTGTGTTGTTGTTGTTATGTGCCATCGAGTCGGACCTGACTCATAGCGACCCCTCCTTGGGTTTCTGAGGCAGTACCACTATGGAAGT